CACCATATGGCATGTGGATGGGGGTCCACATGTGCCACAAAAAGGTAGCACGCCCCACCCTCTTTGGATTCTCTTGTTTGCTTTTAAGATAAAGTAAGTTTGATTTGTGACATGTGGTCAAATTTTGGAAGGGATAAATTGTCCATAGCTTTATCTATTTTGTAGCAAGTTTGTTTTAAAGAGATATGGTCAATTTGAATTGATATGGATCTTATCTTATTTATATTTGGTAGTATTTATCTACTTGATATTATTTGACATATCCTTATGGAATATGTGACCTGGATCGTGTAATTTTATAGAATGCATGATATTTATTTTATTTAAATATATTGATAGGAAAATGGTTTAGAAAAGGGAGATAATGGTTCATGCACCTTCCATAATGTTGATGGTCTATCTATGGAATGGATGACTCAGATCTCTCACCCCACAAGTCATCCTTGATCGACGGTTTATATTCAATCGCACAAGAAGAGGTAAGCTAAGAAAAACCCTAAAAAACCCTAATTTTATTCAAAGCCTATAAAAAAAGATTGTTTCTACCCAAAAATCTCTACACCTTATTTTTTGTACCTAATTCTCATCTTTCTCTCTCATATCCCAAGAAGAGGCACGCACTACTCTCTCATGTTTGATCTCTCTCTCTCACATTGTGAAAGAACCTAAGGGTTTAGGTTATGGAGTTCTTCTCTCCTATCTCTCAAATATAGATTTACGGCTAAGGGTTTTAGGGTTTAGCAAAAAGAAAATCCATCTCTCTCAAACGATGTTGCTAAGAGAATTTACCTAGGGCTTGAGTTTGTGATTAAAGGGGTTCATGTTCCATTGGTGTGGCTTGACCGAAATTTGCTTTCCCGGTTCGAGATTGAAGCTAGACCGTTAATCTCACGCTATCGGATGGTTGTGACTCGGTGTATGGTATAATAAGCTTGGTTGAGGTAATCTCCAGCACTCTTCTTTTTTGTTTCTTACAATCTTATCTTTTATTCTCAAACATAGTGCATAGTTGTTTCAATGGCATCAAGTTGTTAAGATCTTGATTTTGTTGTTATGTTGATTTTATTTTGAAATTTATCTTATTATAATAAAGACCATCTGTAAGTGATCTTTTTGCCAAAAGAAAGAGGTGAAAAAAAAAAAATGTATTCCCCGATAAAAGATCACATAGGTCTTTCTTTCATACCAATGGTGGCAACCTCATTGATAAAATCCCGACATCTGTATTGGACTTCTAGAGCAACTTCACGGCTACATGCCGTCCATCACAGAGCTCCCCTTTGAACACACTACCATATCCTCCTTGGCCCAGTTTTTCTTTGAAGTTCTTGGTCATTTTGCGAATTTCCGCAAACGTATATTTTGCAGTAATAGTGGATTGGTAATTCTCCAAACACATTTCTATATCTTTGTTTGTGTCTTTCGCATTCAAGCGTTTGGAAAAAGAAGCCATAACAATTTAGTGAGCTCTTTCTTCTTAAAATGAACCAAAGTATCAGCACCAGAAGGAAACAAGTCACTACAGCCATGAAAACATAAGGAGAAAAGGAAGATTGGAATGGGATGTTTCTCCAATTTTACTAGAATGTATTTAGTAGAAAATCATACTTCTCTTCTAATTCCTAAACCAAAATCCTTAAATTTTCAGTTAACCTCAAATAATTTCCATATTTGACGTTTTGAGTTTAATATATGAATTTGGAGAAGAAGTTCGATTTCAATCCTTGGGGACGATAAGTTTCTCCTATACGTTCAAGATTCAAGAATAACTACTAGCAAATCGCATTAACTGCAAAAAGAGATGGGTGTGGCTTGCATAAGTTTGCAACCTTAAATAATCAAATTAAGGCGCACCTCCAAATTCTATCATAAAATGATAGGTATAAAAAATTCTTAGGATGACATGAAAATCCATTTTTCGAGAATCCATTTTCATCTCTAATTACAAAATTCTAAGAGAAAATATCCTATTATCCTTTATTTTTAACTTCTATATCTCATTAGACCCAAAAATTAAAAATATTACTTGTAAGCAAAAGTTCTTCATCTTTTCTATCTTACAACCCTTGGACCCCTATGATTATAAATTTTTGACCCAAATAGATACTAAAATGACATTTTAAGACTCCATCTCTCTCTCTCATCACCTTCTCTCTCTCTCTCAAAACTCCATTCTCTCTCAATACTCTCTCTCATCACCCCATTCTTTCTCTTCAACCCTTCCACCTCGCTCCTCAGAACAAAGCACATGCCCTTCACAAATTCCACCTCCTTTTTCGGCAACCCACTCAGCGGAAAACTAAACCAACTGCCACAATATTCCTTCGCCCTCCCCTCCTCTTCATTCACTGACTCCACACCAATTTTATCCACTATCAGGTAAGGAAGCTCATTTCCGGCTTGGAAACTCTCTTTTTTTGTTGAAAAATTTACACCCCATCTAAGCTTCAAGGCCGCGTGTTTTCTCAGAGGGAACCCACTCCTCACCATAAAATTTTCCCCTGAAACCACCTCCTTAATATCAGGAAAACAACAACTGATGTTCCCCTTCTTGTCACTGTCTGCCTCCACCTAAAAGCCACCCGCTCCTCACCATCAAATTGACCCCTAAAACCACCTCCTTAATATCAGGAAAATCACAACTGATGTTCCCCTTCTCCTTGTCACTCTCTGCTTGCACCTGAAAAATTGCCATTTTGCTTGAAAACCACCAGATTCTTGGCCTGAAAGGACCTGACTGACTTCCTGACCATGAAATCGCCGGATTCAAGCCTAAATTGGAGGGTGAACCTAGGATTTGCTCTCCCCAACAAACTAAACTCGATAGCCATGGACATTGGGGACCTCTCAAGTGAGCCCCATAACCCTATTCCAGATTTGACAACAAATTGAAAGGGGTTCCATGAATAGTTAGGGCTAGAGAGGCTCTAATGGCAGGGCCAGTGGACCAAGCCGTTCTCAAGTTTTATAGAGAGAGAGAGAGAGAGATAGAGTTTTTTAGATAGGGTGTCACTTTAGTGTTTGTTTGGGTAAAAAATATATAGTCAAGGGGGTTATAAGATAGAAAAGATGGAGATCTTTTGCTTACAAGCAATATTTTCAATTATTGGGTCTCATGAGATATATAAGTTAAAAATAGGGAATAAGATGATATTTTCCCAAATTTTAAACTTCAAAAATGGTTCAAATCAAATTGATCTATAAATACATGAAAATCTTGAAAATGGATAGTGTCGAGATAAGGTGTCGCAAGATGCACTATTTTTTGGACTTGGAATCTTTTTTTGTTTTCATATTCATGTATCTTAATGTCGCAATAATCAATTAAAGGGTTTTTCAACATCAAAATAACTTTTTCCTATGGATTTTTGAGATGCAACCTAATTCTATATTTTGAAGTTGCTACCTAATATAAACTTTTTTCCAAAAGAGATATACAAATGATGGAAGATCATTGAAATAAGATACTAAATAATTGTAATATTTTGCATATCATCGTTATCTCTTCTTTAGGCAAAGTGATTTCGAATTCGACTTTGAGAAAAGATCAATTTTAGAGTTTTGAATGAAATTTTAATCTCAACACTTTTACGGTGTGTTGTAGTTCTCTTATCGCTTGCAATGATTTAATAAAGCAGCCATCATGTCAGCCCCAACCTTTGCAAATTTAACGGAATTGAATAAGAATTCTTACAAAACTCTTGGTGGTGAGGTTTGGCAATCAAAATTTATGTTATAAAATTTGGGGAAGCTTTACAGGCAACTCGACCCGCATATACAATATCTGTAACCCCTGGTATCAGTCATCCGATATGAATGGATAGCTAGAATTGTTCGTATTATGATGTTATCCAAAAAAAAATTTGGATTTTATGACACATTTTTTAGTGAAATTTTGAGCATTCCTTTTATTATTGGAGCACTTCTATAAAAAATAAAATAAATATTTTTAATAAAAATAAATGACCAAAAAGCCTTTGTAAGTTTTAAGGGTATTCTGATAATTTTTTATTGCCAAAAAATTTATTTTTATCATGTACAACCTATTTTACATAAAAAAAGATACACCAGTCTATTTGTGACCCGGATGCAAGTGTCAGAGAAATGAACCCCAAAATGACATTTGGACACCGCACATCCATACAATAGATAGTTGTCTATGTATATGTACATGCTTAATATGCACATCACTACATAGATAGAAATTCATATATAGTTCACATTTGCATTTACATTTTCAACAATTCATATGTCATAACAATAGCAAAGCTTCGAAGAAAAATTGAACTAAATTAATAATCCAAAAAATAATATTTTGTAAAAGTGTGGTTTGCATAAGGTTGCAACCTTAAATAATCAAAGTAAGGTGAGCCTCCAAATTTTGTCGTGAGATGTACGATTGGGATAAATTTTTTTAAGATGGTGTGAGAATCTATTTTTATCTTTAATTATACAATTTTAAACTCCAAAATAGTTCTAATCAAGCAAATCTATAAACGCTTGAAAATCTTGAAAATGGATGGTCCAGATAATGTGATGCAAGATATAGTATTTTTAGGACTTAAAATCTCTTATTTTCCTCCATATCTATACATCTCGATGTCGAGATGATCAATTCGATGTTTTTCCAAAATGAAAACAAACTTTTTCGAAAAAATTTAGAGGTGCATCTTAATTCTACATTTTAAAGAGTCGACCTTATTTAATCTTTGTCCTTTTGTAAATCAAAATATTATTAATCAAAATTTTATTATACACCACTGTTGTGCCATAAGAACATGGAAAATCTAAAAACCGTTATCTAATTGTTAATTCAAAATATAGCACCTTATTGCGTGATAATTAAATAGGTTTTAATGTATTGATCCATAACCATATGATCACACTCAATCGAAAAATAAATTTTTTTATTTTTTATTCTAAACTACTTTTATTATTCTAAAATATTGTTATATTTTTTTTAAAATATTATTCATTAAAAAATGGTGTCTACAAACAAAAAAAAGCCATAAAACCGAAATATGTCCAAAATGGGAGATGCCATTAGACACTCCGTAGCAGATTTAGAAGGCTCAACATGTTTGTCCATGTCCACCAAATGTCAGACACCCGCATCCATGTTTCATGTGTGCATCCCTGCTAGATATATACACACCCCAAATTTCACTATAAAGTGATTTACACAATAAAAATGATAATAAAACATTATGAGTAGTCTGATCAAGATATTCACTCGACATATAACTAAGCGATCCAGCTATCCATTCAGATATTGCAGCTAAAATAAATGGTTGTGAATCTTATGTGTGTAGCGCCACATGTAAAGCTTACCCTATATTTATGTCATAAACAGTAATCTGAGCTGTCTGTCTCAAAGAGCACATAGAAATTTGACATCTTTTGGTTTAAGAAAACACACAAACACATGGGAGACGCGCAGGAAGTGTATGTGTATGCATGCATCAAAGATTGGGGCTATTCATGAATGTGCATCTGTGCACACACATGCGGTGAGGAAAACAAATAGGGGTTGGTTAAAATTTTAGTATTAAGAGAACAGCAAGTAGCATTAATATTACCTATGACGGCTGTTTCTTTGATGTTGATCCCAGGACCTGCAATTTCCAATTGTAGTGCCCTAATCAGTACTTAACAGCTCAACAACTAAGATTTTAAACGATTAAAAACTCGGGATCTTCAAGACAATGGTCAAAAAAAATTTCCCTTGCAAATATGCCTCCTCAAGCATTAACTATTTATACGCATAAAATTGAAGCTAGATATACATTGTAACAACGTATTATGAAATGGACATGAACACACCACCCACACGCCACAAAGCGCATCAACCTAATATCATATATAATGATAAGTTGTGCCATGTGTTGCAGAACAATAGTTTGGTTTTGTTCCTTTCCCAGCGTCCCTAATTTTTTTTTTTTTTTGCGACGAATCCAGCTTTTAATGACAAAATTAAACGTATTGATATTGAATATCACTTTGTTTGTGGTATGATAGAAGATACATAATTTTATTGCAGAAAATTCATATTGATGACAATCTAGCATATATATTGACTAAGCCATTGGGAGAGAGAAGTTCACTTGGTGTAGAACTTCCTCGGAGATTATGGTTACTTGATGATTAGTAATTAGTAGGCAGCAATTCTTAGAGCGGACTAGTTAGAATGAAAACATGTCTTCAAGTTAGTGAACGTTAAGTAAAAAAAGTTATGGTTTTAAGAAACTTTATATAATTGATGAGTACAATGTGCAACAACAGTTTTATGTGATCATCGCATACTAATGAAGCTGAAGGTCAAGTTTTATAGGACGGCTGTGAGACCAACTTTACTTTATGGGTGGAATCAGTGTTTTAAAAAACGGCGAGTCAAACCGGACTCGCCCGGTTCGACTCGGAAACACGCGTGCCCGTGCCGGTTCCAACCAAAAATCGGGAACCGCCCAATTCTAGAGTGGAACCGTCGGCTCCCATCCGGTTCTATCCGGTTCAGCCCGGTTCTATAGTGGAACCGCCGGTTCCCATCCGGTTCAGGCCGGTTCACACACGTAACGCATGACATGCACGTGCGAGCGTGCCCCATGCACACTCCCACCTGCACACGTGTGTCCAAGCGCACATGCGAGCGTACCCACGCACACTCCCACGTGCACACATGTGTCCAAGCGCACGTGCGAGCGTGCCCCACGCACACTCACACACGCACACATGTGTCCAAGCGCACGTGCGAGCATGCCCCCACGCACACTCACATGTGCACACATATGTCTAAGCGCACATGCGAGGTTGCCCTAATGTTCTTATATATATTTTATATTTCATATTGTATAAGTATTTATATACCAAATTTGAATACTCATCTTTCGATATGGGATAATTTCCAAACATCATTAAATGAAAAGGCAATGTAAATATAGTCTATTAATCAGCAATTTATAGTCACATGTAGTTAGATGGCTTGATGGTTATAACTTTGGTTGGGCATGTGTTGCATTTTTGTTGTGTATATAGTGATTGGTATAAATATAAATATTTTTGTTGTATTCGAATCCCTTTGAGCATGTGTTGCATTTTTGTTGTATATATAGTGGTTGGTATAAATATAAATATTTTTGTTGTGTATATAGTGGTTGGTATAAATATAAATATTTTTGTAAATAATATAAAAGACATAAGAAAATGAAAAATAAAAAAAATTAATTTTTGTTCTATATAGTGGTATAATTATTTTTGTAAATAATATGAAAGGTATAAAAAAAATAAAAATAAAAAGTTTATTCTATTTGAAATCTCCATCTTTCTACTAACAATCTCTTTCACTAAATTTATTATAGAAACCTAAAAAAATAAATTTTTGAAAAATTGAAGTGTTATTTCCAAAATTTGTACGCATTTTATTAATTTTTACATTGATAACCAAATCTTTTATTTTATTTATGAATTTTTACATTATAAATCATATAATGTACTATTTTTCTTACAGTTGTCAATAATATATTTTAAATTAGATAATATTATAAAATGTTTTTAATTTGTTATTATTTGTCTTATAAAATAATTATAAAATGTAAACTAATAATTATAATTTCAGTATATAATATTATAATTAGTGAGGTTGTAATAATTTTGGATTTTAGTTAGTTAGGCTGTAATAGTTTGGGTTTTGTTAGCGGGTTAGGGTTTTTCGCCAAAACGATATTTTAATGGCCATTCTTTCATTGATTAGTCTACTCTTTATAATAGTCCATATATAATTATATATTTTATCCATGATAATTCTATAATTTTTCTTTTATGTGATGCAAATTTAATAGTTAAAATAAATTTATACAGGGAAAGAACATCTCAATATTCACAAATTGATAAAAAAAATAAAAGTTAATAATGTAGTACCCTCATTTTTTATTGGATTCTTAAAAAACAACATTTATAATGAATTTTAATAATTTTTTCGGATTTTTTTGAAGCTTTAATCCGACCGATTCCCGATCCCGATCGTCGATTCGCCGATCCGGATCGGTTTTTGAGGTGCCCGATCCGAGTCACCGATCCGCTTTTTAAACCATTGGGTGGAATGTTTGACAGTCAAGAAGCAACATACCCATAGGATGAGTGTAGCTGAGATGATGATAGTGAGATGAATGAGTGATAAGACAATAAGTGAGAATTCGAAATGGATACATTTGAAAAAACTTAGTGTAGCACTAATAGGTGATAAGATGAGAGACAATAGAGATAGGTGGGCTGGTCATGTACAGCGCAGACCCATTATAGCACTTGTTATGAGATGTAAGTTAATTCAAGTGGAAGGCTAAAACAGGACAACGGGTAGGCTAAAAAAACATATGGTTGGAAGTAGTAACAAAAGATTTGAGGATTTATGGTCCCATTAAGTGTATGACATTTGACAATGCAGAATGACATACCAAGATTGGTATAGCCGACTCTAAATAGTTAGATAAAAGCTCTGAGGATGATGATGATAATGATGATGATGATGATGGTGATGATGGAAATCCTATATTTTGCAGGGATGAAACCGATGTTGATATACAAAAAAGGGTTACCTTGATTTAGATTGGGAAAGGGAAACCCTTTCTAACTCCTAAATAGTAAGGAGAGATAGAAGAATCTCACATGGGTCCTCTTTGGGGATTTTTTTTTATAACATAAGATTTTTGTAGGGAGAGAGAATATGAAGAAGAAAGAGTGAAAGATAGATAAGGTAACTTTTTTTTAATCCTTAGGTGGGTATTCTAATGAGAGAAAGGTAATATTTTAGGGTTCATACTTGAAAACCCTCATATTCTCTATACTTGTATGAAGAAGAAGAAGAAGAAGAAGGTGAGGGTGACTGAGTGAGGGAACTCCTTAATATGTTAGATGAATTGGATCCTTTCATAATTGGTGTGAACAATATACCATGTTTCCTTGGAAGCATAGTTTATTTCTACTCCCTTGGTTAGACGACCTTCTTAAGAGGATTTTTTCAATATGAAATTTTATTAACCACCTTATAATCAAATTTTATTAACAACCTTATAATAACTAGATGATTATTCTATTAAAAAAAAAAAAATTTGAAATTTGAGTTTTCCAACACTGAGGATCTCACCCCATAAAATTAGATGTTTTCTAGTCAATCTTGAGACAGTCTTTTTTTTCAAATACTTAGGGGGCACAATTAGGAAATTTTTTTTTATCGAGATTAATCTATGTATTAAAGAGGTTATGTTCACCCTAGTTGTGTTTTACCTGAGGGAGTAAATGAACAATATACTCCCTATGGAGTAGAATATCTTTGGCTTTTTACTTTTCAAACCTGATTTGGTGTCCTTGACTCATGAGTTTGCTTGCTTACATGAAAAAACATGGGTGGATAGGAATGGGAAAAATATAGCATGACCCATATGTTCATACTAGCAAGCATATACTTCTAGTCTACAACGATCGGCCCTTCAATCGCCGTTCAAACCATCGTGGAATGGTGATAAACGCATTGTTATAGGGTCATGATCACCATATGGAAAATATTGTGCGGACCCTTGGGAATGCCCCTCATTTACGAATTGGAAGCTTTTTTTCTTTTCCAAATGTTGAATTGAACACTATTATATATAAGGTGTGGTTTGCATATCGTTGCAACCTTAAATAATCAAAGTTCACTTTCAAATAAGATATAATTTTGGTGTCGAAAATTTTTAGGATGGTGTAAGAATCTATTTTTGTCGCTAATTATAAAATTTTAAACTCAAAAAATGGTTCAAATCAAGCAAATTTACAAATGTATGAAATCTTGAAAATAGATGCTTTAGATAATGTACTATTTCTAGGACTTCGAATCGCTTTTTTTTTTCCATATCTATGCTTAGTGATGGGAAGATGATCAATTAGATGTTTTCCAACATCGAAACAAGCTTTTTCAAAGGATTTTAGAGGTGCATCTTAATTTTATATTTCAGGTTCCGTGTATATATATATATATATGAGGGGAAAGTCTCACGTCCATGTGGACAGTTGGTAGGATGCACAAGCACCTTTTCAAATGTTTAGATTAAAAAAAGGTTATATACAATAGTTAAAATCTACTTTTGTTTATATCTTTATTTAAATATTATATCTATCTGAAATTCAAGGTGTAAATTAATTTTTTGTAAGAAGAACTAAATAAAATATTTTAAGTAAAAAATTAATAAAACTATTTTTATTGAAAATATTCACTATTATTATTTTTTGATTTGTCATAAAAATAATTTACACCCACAATTCAGATCAAAAAAATTTTAAATAAAATAATTTCTTTTTTTTAGTCTTTGGATGAAACTAGATTCAATATGAACCGTTGAAGTGTCTATTGTATGTTCACGCCATACCAGCCTTTATATAGATGTCCATCCCCAACTTTATAAGATGGACCCGGTTTCTATGCGGCCAAGCCCGCATCTGTAGAAATGCGGGCTCTTAATAAATCTATGTTTTAGATGGATTTTAAGATTTAATTTTTAAAGACATGTAATATCTAACACGGAGATCATGAATACGAATAAATGAATAAATAAATTTTAAGAACTAGGAATTGGATTTCTAATAAGAAAACATTTGTATCGTTAATTTTCATTTTTTTTAGATGGAACACTTACTTGTATTCATCTTGAAGATGGATGCTTTACACTTTCTGGACCGCATATGTAGAAATGCCGTCTAGCCCACATGAAACAATTTTCCTTATTTAAGATGCCAAAAGCAGTTGAAAAGTAACCAGATAGAATTATGAGAAATTTCTTGTGGGGAGATGACATAAGAAGGAAAAGATTTTATTTGGTGAATTGGGAAAAAAATAGTAGACCACTGAAAGAGGGAGGAAGGGAGGATTGGGTGTTAAGAGACTAAAACATACGAACTCGGAACTTTTAGTAAAATGATGGTGGAGGATCCATACACAACTTGAGTCTTTCCGGGTACTTGTTCTGAGAGAAAATATGGAATGGATTTGAACTTTGGCCTCATTAAAAGTCCAAGAAACAAGATAAGTTTGTCCCATGTTTGGAGATGTATTGACTATGAGAAATCTG